CCAGGGACATCTCTAATTCCCCTTGGGGATCAGTTCACCCCCTAAGATGCGACAAGTATAAACCTGCCAACACAGTCCAATTTAAATGTATCGAGCAGTGGATGCTCAACCATCTACACACAATGCTGGAGAGGATCATTTCTGCTCATAGCTCTACCAGCTCAACCTTTTCAAGAAGACTGCTCTTGCCTCTCCTGTCACACAGACTGGATTTTGACCTTGGTCAGACAAGAGTCCCTTAATCTTTAAAGGGACATCTTCCTGTATCATAACTGTCAGACTGTGCCCATAAGGCTAATATGTAAAAGCAGAATTTATTTTTAAATACCTCCCTGCTTTACATGCGATTTCAGTTCCAAACAACATGCATCAACTTTTTATAAAAATCCACACACAAATTATTTTTATCATCCAAATACCCTTTTAAAAGCTCAAAGGCTGACATACTAAAGCTGAGAAGTCAAATCTTTAAAATATACATTTCTAAATTGTTTATAAGAAACACATGTTACTGGTCCATCGATATGGAGAAAAAGTTTGTACCTGAAATTGATTAAGATAATTACATTAAAAAAGATATAGTTGTCTGCTGAAAGGCCATATATTGCACCTCTGTATGTAACTCTGCTGACTCTATGGTCACCTTTACATATACAACAAATGAGAGGTTTTGAAAGGTTTGGTTTTTTGGGGGGTAAAGGGTTGTGGTTGTTTGGTTTTGCATTTTACAAGTATGGAAAAATTCCACTCACTCCTGAGTTAACAGAAAATGCAACAAAATGCCTATATTTTCTCAGTCTCAGGTGAGACTTAGTGATGTCACTCACTTCACTTCCAAAGGGGGCACACTTAAAGCGTGAGGGTGGAACAGAGAGAACCATGTATGTGTATAGATGTAAATAAACACATATACATATAAATTGTGGGAGATATGTACATACATACATACATACACATATACGTCCAGTTTTGGTGCCCCCAGCACAAGAAGGATGTAGACATACTGGAGCATGTCCAGAGGAAGGCCACCAAAATTATCAAGGGATTGGAGTACCTCTTGTACAAAGACAGGCTGAGGGAGTTGGGGCTGTTCAGCTTGGAGAAGAAAAGGCTCTGGGAGGTCCTTATAGTGGCCTTCCAGTATCTGAAGGGGGCCTACATGAAGGCAGGGGAAGGTCTATTCAAAAGGGTTTGTAATGACAGGACAAGGAGTAATGGTTTTAAACTAGGAAAGGATAGATTTAGACTTGATATTAGAAAAAAAATAATTAAGAGTAATAGATCATTGGAATGGGCTGCCCAGAGAGGGGGTGGAGTCCTCAACCCTGGAGTCATTCAAGGTCAAGCTTGATAGGGCCCTGGGAAACCTGACCCAGGTAGAGATGTCCCTGCTTGTGTAGGGAGGCTGGACCAGATGACCTCTAGAGGTCCCTTCCAGCCTAAAACATTCTATGATTCTATGATAAAGAATTGCAGGAGGAGAGGAGCAAGACACAATAGCCTGGAAGCAGAAAGGCTGGGTGTAGGCAAGTTGATCTTAAGTGCACGTGGGGAGAAATGTGACACTCCCCTCCTGCAGCCTCTCTACTCTCTGAAAGCTGTGATGAGAGATGTATGTTTTGAGGCAGAAGTAGATGATTGAGAGAGAACTGCCATTCACTGAAGATCTTCACACAATGAAAGAGGTATCAGATACACTGGTAATTGAATTTGTGTGTCTAGTGAGGAATCATAATAAAGTGCATTTTACTATTGCCAAGCTTAGCTTATTCAGCTCTCCAGAAATCAAATCTGCTGGGCAGTCCGTAGCTGCACTATTGCATCATCTTGTTGGAATGGAAATGCTCAGCTGAAACAAAATGGTATCCTCTTTTCAAAAACTGGTGGATGGTTTGAACCCTCCCAGTCTTCAAATGAAGGCACAAAAATTGACAGCAGATTTCTCAACAGGAATAAAATCAAATCCTGGACAACTTTAAGGAGTTCAGTATGTAGATTTTCTTGAAATAAACCAGTAATTTCCCTATGATGTCCCAGAAACAGTGACAGAGTACAACATGTTTTATAAGTCCTTATGAAATGAATCATCCACGTCCTGCGGACAGCAGCAGAACTCGCCACATATAAAAAGAATTAAACTACTTTAGTAACGTGTTAAGACACATAACTTTTCTGTGACCTGATTTTAAGGGCCTTTGTTTTCCTATCTGTGGAAACATGAGCTGTGTTAACATTGATGTTTCTTTCTCACTGCCATCAATGCTCTGCAATTGCACCGTTGCGAGCAAGCACTCCTCTTTAAAGAGCAAAAGCATCACAGCATCTGCTTCTCATAAGCACGTTTGTGCATGAGTATAAGTGCGTATTTATGAGAAAGAGAGAGAAGTAAATCTGCTGAATTTAACTTGAAAGTTTGTCACAGGGAAGGTTTTTTTTTCTTTTCCATCCTTCAAATTGTAGAACATAGAAGTGGGGCTACTCCTATGCACTTGTGCTTTTACTTTGAACTCACTTGTTAGTACAGGGAATGGTTAGTGACTGAAAAAAAATGTTTATTTTACTTTCAAAGTTGAGTCACTGCTGCCTATGATATGGCACCTATGATATAGATATGGCTATAGATGATAGAAAGTTTTTATTGGCACTTGTATCCCAGAGCCTACAGAGCAACAGAAGTTCCTTCAGCACACTCACAGGCTCAGCCGTG